ACGTTGCTTCTCAACTATAGTTAGATCATAAACAATCGAAATTGCTTCAAATCCAAGTTTTGGCAACAACACAAAGGTTTCGTTTCATGAGTCTACGGTAAACATCGACTCAACGCGACAGCTCTGTTGGAGACTAAATGTCATTGGGAGAAAAAAGTTATACGGCCCGCTTAAAGGGCGCCACGAGCTTTCTTCTCGAAACTTCAAATTCCTATTATTGCGTGATTCTTTAGTACGTCTGTATCATGTTCGAACCAGTGCGAAGCAAATGCTCACCTACCCCTCCCACAACCTAAGATTACCCTATTTTGTAATCAGTTGACTGCTGTTGGGTTGGAGGGGGGAGGAGAGGTAGGTGTGCAAACGGTCAAATACTGACTTTGATCCTTCAAACGAACGAAGGAACAGATAGAAGGTTTGGATTTAAGTTACTGCGAGACATTGAATCGATTTTCTCATACCAATCAATGTGTACGCGATCTGATATCCAGAAAATCGAAGACTCTTCCCCTAGCAAGAGTAAAAAAAAAAAAGGACAACAAAATTTAATGACAAACTAACGCACACGTCACTTGAGATAATTTTATACTCTAGCAATATTTAGGACGTTTGTCACATGACAGACTTTGTAGATGGCTTGGCTCGTCAACAAATTCTCTACAGCTTAGAACTTATCCCACCAGGGACTCAAACAATTTTCCGGGTCTATAGTTCTTAAAATGCCGTTTCCCATCCTCGAGTACTTGATACACAACTGTTTCGGTAGTATTACATCATAGCAACATGATTTGACAAAATTTTCTCCAAAGTTCCGTGGAAAGTTCATATAGACAAATCAGCATGACTCGTCATTCTAGAAATTTCTAGATACTCATATTATACAGTCACTATCTATAACTTCATTTCAATCTTTATCATAATCATTATAATTGTTAAAATCATTATCATTATTATCCTCATTATCACTATCGTCGTCACCATCGTTGTTTCTTTACCATTATCACCATTTCATTCAAAATATGGCATCCAGTCCTTTCCTATCCACGGTCGTTTCTTACCCAAATTTAGACAATTCGTACCCAGTATGAGCAAAGGCAGCTCAAGCACGCAAAATGAGCCACCGTTGTGAAATGGGTTAAATATGAGAATTTGCGTGGAAATAAACAGTCGTTTTCTAAAACTAAAAATCTGAGCTAGTGCTCAATAAAAATAAACTTGCCTCGCTATTCGCTTCAATGTAAGAAACTGACTGTAACTAAAACATACTTATCACGGAAAACATTCTTTATCAATAAGGATCAACAGACTGGGTACGAATGTTCCGTGCTGGGTAAGAACCAGCTGGTAACGCACGCAAAATACAGAGTGCACTTTAAACCATCCGTCACTCGGCCACAGTACGTACCACTGAATTCGCAGGTGTCAAGAACAGGTCCTGAGAAAATATAGCCTGCCCTCGATACAACTGAAGAACGTGTTCTCTAAAATACAGGTTAAAACATTACACGTGAACACGTGGGTCCAGAAACAATTTACAACAACAACAGCTCCATTTTGCAAGGGTGCATGATTGCAACTAAATATGTCGAGAATACTCTACTTCAGTTAAATGCGAAGAGAGAAAAAGTAACAACAAAATAGTGAGGAAAGGAAAAACAGAGAAAAGAAAAACAACAACAACGAGGCAATAAAATTAGAACTGGTAGAAATGTATGCATTTGCGAGGATACTAGTTTGAATTTGAATAAATGGCTTTATTCAGAAATTTTATCACCTTTACCTAGCACTAAATTTGATGCGACCTAGAAATGTGGATGTCAGGAGTGGAGGGAGTCGTAACTGGCGAAGTGTCTTGCACGACAAAAAAAAAAAAAAAAATTGAGAACGCTACGACCGGCCCAGAGGGAGCCTCGGAATTTAAAAAAACAGGAAGAAAACTCACCGGTGGCATTTCATGAAATGAAGCAACATCAAAAGAGAAAAGATAGTAGAAACGCCAAGGCCTGCTTCTACCAGGCCTGCAAAGAAAATAAAGAAAGCGTAACGAAACTAAACAAGGTAAAACTGGTTGGGGAAATGCAAAACTTAGCAAGAATATTCGATGAAATTAAAGTCAGCGAGTTCCTGATTACACTTTGCGTTCTTGTAAGATTTTATATAGGAAGGGCATCCCTTGACAGCAATTATGTCATGAAGGATTCTCAGTGCTTTATAGTAAATAAAGGTTTTACTACTTCCACTACGAACAGAAAAACTTACCAAAGAAGACATCGCAAACATTGGCCAAGCTGGTGTTACCATTATTTTTGTAGAATTGGATATATGCCCTTCTTATAACGTCCAAAAGAGAAAAAAAAGCCATGAAAACCTGAGTAGAAAGTACTAAAATAAGAGGAGATAGAGGAAAGAAATCGAAAACAAAAAATAGGAAATGGTGATGAGTATGTTAAGAAAATTTACCACGGTGACAAGACGATGACGATGACGATGACGATGGAGATGGAGATGAGGTCATTCATCCCGTCAGTAAGTCACACAGTCAGTCAGTCAGTTATTACGCCATCAAAATATTACCAAAAGTAAAAAGCAAATAGTGTTTATAACATACACAAAGTAAAACACGCGCTCTGATCAGTCAATTTAGTATCCACCATGCCCACGGGTGTACGCTACTGACGTGAGCAAATGCAAAGACTAGTTTCCGCGCGCTTGTTTTTCTGGTCACGTAAGATTTCAGTGTTAATAAAAGAGAATTCTTTTGCTACAATGGATCAATTTTATGGTATGAAACAAATGGTAAACACAACAGGGTACACAATTGAGTAATGGATGCACGCGGAAGGTTTGCTAAGCTCTCAAGAAGCTAGAGTCGCTCTCGGTAATCGCCTCGCGCGACTCTTACAAATCTTTCATGCTTAGCAACCTCCCACGTGCATCCATTACTCAATTGTGTACGCTGTTGTGTTTACCATTTGTTAAAAAAGACAAAAAATAAATTATCTTACTCACCTGAAAGATCATTAAAGCGCTCACCAGCATTGTTGAAATGAATTGGGGCGAAAATTTGAAGTCTAAATCCAAGAAATAAAATGAAATTAATATAAAATTCAAATATATTTTAACAAGAAAAGACTGCTCCAATCAAACCATCTCTTTATTTAAATGATTCCTGTTCATGGCTGTACGACTTGACGCGTTTAAAATATTCCATACCTTTCCTTGGTGTGTAAAGACGACGAAGCTGCCTTGAAAACCAGTTTCTTTCGACTGTGTCCTCCCTGTACAAGCAAATAGGGACAAAAACAGGTTCTACCACCGAATGGTATAACTTGATGGCTTGTCAAAAAAGTTGCTCCAAACGCCAAAAGTCGCTCAAAAGTTGCTGAACACAAACGGGACATACCTACCTAACTCTCTTTTCAAAGTTTTAAGCTTAAAGACCTCAATCCGAGATTTATATTTAACAAATATTCCATAAGCGTGTTGGATATAAGATGAAAGATAGCCAACGAGGCACGTAGCGCCTCGTTGGCTACAATCATCTCATATCCAACAAGCGCGAGGGGAATAATTGTTTTATTAAAAAAAAAAAAATTAAAAAAAATAATAAAAAAAACACCTCCAAGATGTTAGACAAATCTTCTCGACTTTATTTTGTAAGAAGAAACCCGATGATAAAATGTACAGATATTAGATTATAGTATATTGGCTCATAGACCATAATGGCTAAGCCAATAAAGTCTTCAATTGCATTATCCAATGATCCAGTTTTTAGTAATCAGTGATGTGTAGTGAGTAAAGTGAAAAGCTTAACCAAGTGCGGCTGTAAAGAATGTAAAATAAAATCACAGGCGTGTTCTTAACGCCTAGCAGATTTAAATTAAGCAAATAATCTTATTTGCCTGAGATTTCTATGCTTGATTGCCGATTCAGGCTTCACCCCTAATAGGCTGTGACGTGATAGAGATCTCAAGCGAATAATCTTACTGTTAAAAAATCCCATTTTACAGCACTCTGAATCAAGTTTGCATGTACTGAATAACCTTGCCAAATTATCAATTTAAACTCTTTACCAAATTGATCCTGGACTCAGTAGTTCCGCCATATGAGCGATCTCCGCCATATAGACAAATCAGCATGACT